TTGAACCACCAGCCATCTGGTTAGCAGTCAATGCCTAAGACACTATGCTGCCAGAGCTCCTAATCTCAGTTTACTACTCTGAAAACAAGTACAATGTTGAACAACATGAGTTCTAAAGTCTCTTCCAGATGAAAAAAAAAAATGTTTATTTCCAAAAAGATGTCTGATATAGTATATGTTTATCCAGCTATTACTTAGACAATTTGCATGTGTTCTTCTGCAATCCATTCAACTTCTGTCTAAAAAATTTATTCTCTACCCTTAAAATTTATGTAAAGTATAAAAATCATCAAGTAGTCATCCATTAGTTTAATGAGTATGCAATCTATTTCTTCTAAGTTTTGAGTCAAAAATTAAATGATGCTGACTTGAGACTTCCTTACCCCTTGAAAAATGAAAACAAAATTCTGCAGGATGATTATGGCAAATTGATTCCTATTTTTGAATCATATGCAAAGGAGAAAATAAATACAAATCAAACAATAGATATTTTCATTGTAATTAAATGTAATGCATGAAATGAATCAAGAAATTTAAATGAAATGGAAAAAGTTATCCATGTAAAATCTAGATGTCTGAAAAGCATATTCACAAACAAATAGTTTGGATCACTTCCATCCCTTTAAAGGGCAAGAAATATTTTGCATCTGAAGAAGAATATTGTCCAGAAAGCTAAATATTAACTAAAGTCTATCCCATAGAGAGATCATTTCAGTATTTTTTTGGAAGTTGTGACTGGAATACTTTTCTGTAGTCTGTGAAAAACGGTTGTAGTACTAATTATGATTGCAAATTTAAATTTCAAATGCAGAGTGAGTTATTTATAGCTAGAAATGCTTGTAATTTTATAACCCCCTGGGCTATACAAAATGGATGATTTTTTTTCCTTTAAGAAAATTAAATAATTTAAAACCTTAAGTGCGGACATGATTCAATCTATATGTAAAGCATAATGTGATTTCTGAATTTGATTTTTTGTAGTCAAACAGAATATGATGGCATTATGGAACA